CTTTTTTTTTTCTTTACAATTTTTACAATTTTCACAACTAACAGAGAAAATTTACAGCCTCAATCAAAAGTATCTATCTACTTCTCTAACAGTTGATTATATTTTATTGAGTGACACTTTGAAGCTACGATGAAAAAATGTATATGTGCATGTTCATTGAATACTTGCGAGAAAAAAAAAGACATACACCAACCAGTTTTCTATAAAAGAACATGATAATAAGCTATGTGATTTTTTTTCATTATCTTATACATCATTTGACACTTGTTGTAGGGCTTATTACACATTTCCCTGTTCAAATCCATTGAATTGTATTTTAAATATTTATACTTTATAATATTTACTTCTATTATTATTTATCATTTTAAATGATACCATTTTGATTGAGGTTGCATTGATATATGGCAATGATTCAAGTTCACTTTGTTTCAATAGACTAGAAAAAAGATACCTAGGCATCTTTACAAATCTTTTTACAATTGATATTTTATTGTACATTTTTCCATTCAAAAAGAATTTATTTTAATGGAGTATTTATAGTTTGGCAATGTGAACTAAAATCAGAACCTTGTTCCTTTATTCTCTGTAGCCCATAATTCAATGAATTTTTAATATTTCTAAATATTCCAATTGAGAGAAAGAGAGAGAGAGAGAGAGAGAGAGAGAGAGAAAGAGAGAGAGATGGCAGTATGATCTTTGTAAATTCTGAAGTTACGTTTCCGCAAATCTTAAAACACATTAAGCGTAATTGAGCCATAAAATATTTTTGAACTATATCAGAAGATACTGCATCGACTCTCTTGGAACCTTTAAAATCTCAATTTTATTCTTTTAATGTATCCTATGTGCGATCATTCCTTTGATACGTTCCTGAGTAACATCTCCTTCGGTATACAGGTTCAACCTCCTGCTACATGCGCAGATCAGGTGGAGAATACGGATCCCATGGATTGAGTAATCTTAGAGTTGTTTGAACAATCGTATCTACCTCTGCCATTCCACCTATTCCAGTATCACCGCACATAAGAGTTTTAGAAATACATGGTAATTCTCTATAACCCCATGATTTAAGTAATGAAATCTATTAGTGAAGATATAAAATATAATTAATACAAAATAAATTTAACAATTTATTTCCAACATTTATTTTATAATATTAAAAATTAAATTGTAGTTTTACCTGTTGTGCAGTAATTGGATGTTCCCACATCTTTGTATTCATTGCAGGACAAAACAATAAAGGTTTTGAAGGATCCCAAGCACGAGCTACGCAAGTGAGTATATTGTCACATATCCCAGAAGACATTTTACCAAGAGTATTAGCATCTATCGGTGCAATTAAAAATAGATCTGCCCATTTAACCAGATCAATATGTAATACCGGATCACCTCTATCTTGCCATGCAGCCCATTCCACTGTATCCGATAGAACCTGAATTCCTGGTGGTAACTCAGCCTCTTTTAAAAAATGTTTTGCTCTTTCAGTAACGACAACTCTTACTTCCAAATTACTTTTCCATAATTTATCCACTAAAAGAGGCAGTTTAATCGTCGCGACGCTACCAGTGCAACCAATTAATACTCTTTTTCTTGAGGCACTTGCCATTTTGAAAAGAATTTCAGAAAAGCAGTTCGCAAAAGCACGCTCTAATAAGCAATATGAATATATGCTTGATATTCCAAATGAACTTTTACCTTTTGGATCCTATAAACGTGTGTATACAAAGTATACTTTATAGAATAGGCCTTTTAATATATAAGTATAAGTATCACTTATCCTTGAATATCTTTTGTGTATCTTTTTCTCTTCTTTTTTCTTTCTTTAATAAAGTATGGTATATCCTATTTACTTGATATACTTTAAACAATGTCCACAAACTACATTTACATGGTAACAATTGTGTGTATATATATATATATATATATTTATATATAAATATATATATATATATATTTATATACTCCTTTTAAAATCTCATTAAAGCTCTAAAGCACTATTGACACTTTCCTTTGAACGGATTCTTCTAAATGCTTCATTTAATCACTTCCAAAGTTCTTCCCTTTCTTATTCTTTTTGTTTTATAAGATTGGCAGTAATATATTCTTCTAAATGTGATGAATCACATGCAACTTAATTCGCACTCTAACTTCTATAGATTTCTAAAACGCATAAACATTAACTGTCTTAAAAAGACATACCAAGAACTTATAGTACAGTCTGAGAACAATATATATTTTATGAACTTTAAACTGGTATTCAATTTGTAACTTTTAACCTGGATTCCTTATGATAAGGGAATATAGTGACATAGATATTACGTAGATGATGATCAATCTTTTCTACGTTTTGTTAATCAAGCAAATATTCGTGAAACTGTTACGTTTTTTTTATTTCATCGGTAAAACCTAATTTCGACCAATCTTCACGCGCCATAAGATTTTTATCCATTCGACAATCGAGATAATCCTTGGCAATATGTCTGCACATTGTATTTTGATTATTATGTTCTAATAGACATCGAAGATAGTCAATCATTACTTGTTTGCAGAAGCCTTCATGATCGAGAGGAAAACTACCCTTTTCGGGTGGCACTGGCTTGAAAGATTTTTGCCCAAACGTATACGAGGACATAATTTAGATCTAATCGCATGGGAAAAAAAAAAAAAAATAAGAAAGAGAGAGAAAAGAATTAGAAGAAAGTACAATGAACGAACATAGAGAACTCTAAAATGTCCCACTTAAGATTCACTTAAAACACGAACAACGTAGAAGTCCTTCCAATGATCGTACAATCTTTTATTTAGTTCAATGATAAGCGCCATCTTCTGGATTCATTCGAAACTTCTGCCAGTTAAAATTTTTTTCATTCGACATATTTTAATTAAATTTGACGTTCTGTTTCGAATAAAAAAAAAAAAAAAAAAAAAAGAAGAAAACAGAAAAGAAACAGAAAAGAATTTTAATTATTAAAAAAAAAAAAAAAACGATAAAAGTAAACTAATGACATTATTTCATTCGTAGCATTGTACGATCGAAAACAATTTGAATTATCGCGCGCTTTTCATATTGAATATAATTCAAAATTCATCTCTCCTACATCATAGAATTTTTTTTATAATTTCATTTTTATATTCAGATAAGAAATTCACTCGATTATAAAACAAAGTGATAATATTAATTTAACCAATTAATTTGTTAATCGAACACCACGTGGCGCTAATAATTAATGACTTCCGTGTCAGTAGGCATTCTAGCATTTTGTCGTAGTTATATCAGTTTATTCTTATAGATAAATGTTGCGTTTTGTTATGTATTTAATATGATATTAGTAAATGTTAATTAAATAGAAATGAATGAGGAATGTATATGAGGAAATCAAAAAAGAAAAAAGAATAATGTACAAAGTAAAGAGGAAATAAATTTCATCGAATTTGTAAAGATTAATAAAATTCATTGACAATGAAGAAATATCTGTTTTGGTTTGCTCATGAACACATTAATTTTCGATTACCTGTGAGTTTATAAGATAAACAATATAACATGAGATATAAAAAAAATTTTAATTAAATTTTATAACTAATATATCTTTTTATAAATACTTTATACGTGTTTATGTACATGTATATGTTTTAAATAATACATGTTATTATCCTAAGAGGTTATGTCGTCTAACTATAAATTATTTTATATTTATATTTATACGCATCGATGTATATTACTTTGATATTACTATTAAATTAAATGTGACGTTTTCTTTTTTCTTTTTTTTTTCTTTTTTTTTTTTTTTTTTTTTGTTATTTTTTAGGAAATGGAATCTATTTTTTATATGTTCGATATAAAATTACCTTCAATTTCTAATAGAGAACAAGTAAGAGAATCTGACAAATTATTTGATCATTTAGTCCTATATCCAAAAGTAACATTTGTAAATAATTTTATAATTGAATACTAATTGTTGTCTTATTTGTAGCCATATTGGATAGTCGATATATCATCTGAAAAAATTGTACATAAAATAGCTAGTAGGGCAGTATCTCTTCGATTTTGTCTTGAACTTTGGGCAAATGGAAATAATAATGAAGAATTGCACAATAATTTAAAAGCTTATCCCATAGAACAAATTAAATTGTACGCGGATAAAGAGAAATCGTTTAAAATTATTGTGGAAACATTTTGTAAACATTTTTCGCAGGGTGAAAAGATACAGAAAATTGAAGTAAGTAAATTTTTTACAATGGCAAAAGTTTGATCATTAAATTTTATATCTTCATTAATATAATCTACATGTAATATTAATGTATTTCAAAATGTCATGATCAGTAAAAGTCTTTCAGTTATTTACCATTACAAGGACCTGTTAAATTGAAGAATCCAGATACCACCTTATATTACATAGAATTTTATGGCTTAGATCCCAATGAAATTCCAGATAAACCTTATGAATTATTTTTTGGCAGATGGGTAAAATTTCTAATGTTATTGTCACGAATGATTATTTTTTGGATTATAATTAAATATAATTTTTTTTGTCCTTTCTGTTTTTTTTTGTGTTTAGATCGCGGATGGACAAAGAGATTTGATACAAAAATTTTCTTTAAAAAGGAGAAAATTTATAGGTAATACTTCGATGGATCCTCAATTATCATTGATCATGGCAAATCAAGCTCAGATTAAAACAGGAGATATCGTTCTTGATCCATTCGTTGGTACTGGTTCTTTATTAGTTGCCGCTTCTCATTTTGGGGGTTATACATTAGGAACAGATATAGATTTTCTTATGCTTCATGGACGTACGAGACCTACTCGTATAAAACAAAAAGTAAAATCATTATAAAGTCTTTTTTCTTTACTTATAGTATTTCGTATATTCTCTCTTATTGTATTAATAGAATATAAATGATCTTAGATTAGGGAAAAGGATGAAAATGTGGCTGCAAATATGGAACAATATGGAAGAAGTTCTTATTATATTGACGTAATAATATCAGATTTTTCTTATCCTTTATGGAAATCAGATATGTTTATAGATGCTATTATTACCGATCGTAAGTAGAATATTTTACTTTTGTTAAACTGATATGATAAGATTATTTCTTTACAAAGTTCATGATTAATTGCATTACTTTTTCAAGGAGATCTAAAGAGGTTTTTATTGTAGCACCTTATGGTATAAGAGAATCAACTGAACGTATAGGAACAATGAAAGCAAATCCTGTGATCGAAGAACATCAAGTATCAACTCATATTCCTTCAAAAGTTGAATACGGTTTACCACAAATATATAAAGATTTATTAAACTTTGCAGCGAAACACTTGAAGATTACTGGTAGATTAGTATGCTGGTATCCAATATTTAGGTAATTTTAATTATTTCTTAAAGAATACATATAATATAACATATCAATATTAGATATTAATATTTCTTATTTTCACAGAGATCAATATTCTTCAGATCAGTTACCTATACATCCTTGTTTACGATTAATAGCCAATTCAGAGCAGGTTCTTAGTAATTATACAAGTCGTATATTATTAACTTATGAAAAAGTAAAAGAACCACAGGTACATTAATCGTGCCATTCGATGTTTCAGATTTAATGACATTTCAAAGACATTTTTTTATAATAATATAATATTTATGATAGGCATTATAATTAACTTTTTTTTTTAGGAGACCGATGACATAAATTCTATATGTTTAACCGATTTCCGAGAAAAGTATTTTGCATTAAGAGAAGAAACGCGGAAAGAAAGAAGAATGAAAAAGGCTACAGAAAGAGCAAAGAAAAAAGAAGATTGGGAAAAAAGTAATGGAGAAAGTATGGAAAGATGACCAGACAATGATTTTTTACCTAATAGATTTTTCAGCTGATATTTTATAGCATCTATGTTGTTATTATCAACATAGTTTAATTATTTTAATTGAAAAGGATAAAATATATTTGTGTACTATACATTGTTAATGTATTGTTTTTTTTTTGTTTTTTTTTTGTTTATTTTTTTACTCGTATTAAAGTATATATTTATTTAAAATCTCCACAACCATACAACTACACTCTTGTTGCACAAATTATTTTTCCAAGAATATTAATGAACAATCTCATGAATAGATAGATGATAGTTTATCAATCATTAATATTCTTGTAGCAACGTGGATGACAACATTAAACCCAACAGATTTTCTTTGCCTATCAACATCTCAATTACGCATTTTTAAGTTATTCTCTTTCAACATTATATTATATTTCACAATTTTTTTTTTTCTATTTTCTTTCTTTTTTTTTATTAACGTTCTCGCGAAATAAATAGAGATTGATGACTACGTTAAGGAATACTAGAAGTGATTCACTTCTGTGCACTTTAATGGAAATTATATATATATATATATATTTTTTTTTAAATTATAATATAATGTAAGACAATAATTATGTTTAGTGCAAGACAAAATGCTATATGAAATGCTTACTTTCTTTCAGTATCTATAATTTTAGATTTGAATTTGATTTTTCAAATATACTTATCAAAGTACAATAATATGAATCATATATTAATGTGAATCCTGTAAAAGTATAAATTATTTAAAATTATGATACTTTATATATACATATATATATATGAATTATATATATATATATATAAAATTAGTGAACGTTATAAGATATGATCAAAAATGTTTTGTGAATGTTCATGTGCACAGTTATTCGTTATAATTCTGTCTGTCTCTGAAAACAGTATTCTTATAGATAATGCATTTACATATATTACAACATTCAAACAAATTTACAAAATCCTAACTTGATTTGAATATGAACATTGACTAAATGCATTTCAATATCTAAGCTTCAACTTGCAATTGTCCTAGTAATCCTTCTATATTTTTAACTTCTTCTTCTGAGACTTTACTTGAATATTGTTTTTCAATTTGATTGGCAGCCCATTCACTTAATTTTATTGCATCTTTTTTCTTAGATGCTGGACATTTGGATGATGTTGCAATACTGTTTGTTGCCTAAGAAAAATATAAAGGTAAAATAAATTTATTAAAATTTTAAACATTAGCTTTTATATTATTAAAATTTATACCATGGGAAAAAAAGAACTTACTAATAATAGGCCATAAAGTGCTCTAATATTATTTGGATTTAATTTGGCTGCTTGACAGAAATAAGCTTTCGCCAATTCCATATTATCAAAACCTCCCTAAAACCAACAGGAATAATGAAGGAAAAAGAAAAAAAAAAAAGAAAAAAAAGAAAAAGGGTGATTTTTCTTGTTTTCATATTTTCTATTACAATTATATAATATAATTTACCTGAGAATATTTTATTTCTGCATATCTTTGATAAATTAAATGGCTGTGCGGATTATGTAATATTAATTCTTCCATGCAAAAAGCTGCTTTAGAATATTCATGTTCTTGTAAATACAAATCACATAGTTCATGCCATGCTTCTTGATCGCTCATGAATCTATGTGAGATTAATCATTTATATTCATAATAATTTTAAATACATGGAAAATGTAAATGGATAAAATAAATAAAGATCTAGGCATAAATATATTTTCCAGATACTTCATTGTATACATATTTCAAAAATATTTTTGTATCAAATATTACTTACTTTTTTAAATATTCGGTAAGTTCTTTGATTGCTTCTGATATTTTTCCTTTAGCTTTCAATAAAGCTACACGACGTTTTCTTGGTGCAGCATTAGTTTCATCCTTTTTTATAATAGAATCTAATACTTCTATTGCCTCGTCATACCTTAGATATATTAATATAAAAAATAATATTTACAAATCATTGGACAAATGTTTTTATACGTTCCATAATATAAAATACGTACATTTCCAATGCTTCCAAGTGCATAGCATGATATTTATGAACTCGTAAACTACCAGGAAATTCTATCATTAATATTTTAATACAGTAATCTGCTAATGATAAACGATAGCAGTCTAAGGCAGCCACGCAAACTTGTTCCAATACTAAATATTCTATACAAGATTAAAATTAAATATATAAAATAATATGATTATATGATTGAGAGAATAGATATTTTATATTTATATAACGATTAAATATAATTCTTACTTTCGTTACCAAGTTGATTGACCTTTCCTGCCAAAACGTTTTCCCATAAATTGACAACATCTCTACTTTGTCGTTCTGAGTTCTCTCTCCATGTTCTAAACAAATCTCTAACCTCTATAACATATAAGAAACACAATAACATTACGTTCTACAAAGATACATATTAAATTTTATGAGGTACTTGTATTGTTTGAATTACGAATTAATTAATTACACAAAAAAAAAAAAGAAAAAAAAAAGAAACAAATAAACAAAAAGAAAAAAAAACAAAAAAAAAAGAAACTTACCCAACCAAGTTAATTTATCATAACGACCTTCCATAATCAGAAATAAAAGTAATAGGAAATAATAAGTGATATGTTACACGAAAACGTTTACAGTATTGAAGAGGTTATACGATGTTGATTATAAATCTCATTAGCATATTGTCAACTAAGCACGATCAACAATAGTCTCTCTTAATCAAAATCTAAATGGCTGTCGTACGCTATTCGAATGATTCAAAGGACAATATAATTACAATGGAATAATCTAGCCAAGTAAAGAGGCCGAACGATATATTTGATATTGATATTATATCAATTTAATATTTCATATACCCGTAAATCATTTGTATCACACAACAAGCACAACGATATTTTATTTATTAATAGAATGATTATTAACGCAGATTGATCATTTTGATTAATTACAAACTGTACTTTTATGTGTGGAAAAATAATACTGCTTTATTATCACCAATCTAGTAAAAGGGGGGAAAAATCGGTGCTATAGATTTATTTTAGATGCGACACACTGCTGAAGTATTTGAAATACAGCGCCCTCGCTTCTTTATGAGAATTAAATATATAATACTTGATCTCATTAAAATAGAGTATACAATTCAAGTATATATCTAGTATTATTTAAAAAAAAAAATGATTGATAAGAATTATAAAGGATATATGAAAGAAAATAGATTCGTATTTGTAGTATAAAATAATAGTAACACGCTAATGAATTCGATCTAAATTTTTTAATTTGAAAAAACGCGCCACTACGATTTGCCAATATGGCCGACGATTACTAATGAAAAATGATTTAACAAGAAATTGCTTCAATTACGTATACGATATATTATAATATGAGAAATAAAATATTATTTTTGATATCAATAATTATAATATTATTTATTATAATATTAATTATATATATATATATTTAAATATAATTAGTTTTTGAAGTGAGGGCGCTGTTAACCAAATAGTTAACATCATTTTCCTGTTCGCCTCTATGCATTCACAATTACCTTTTTGTCGTTGATAATTCCCAACGCCGTACACACGTGGCGATGATAATTGGGATAATATTATTTTTAAACGGGAAAATATAATAGAGAAATATTTTTATTTTTCGTTCGTGTTTTTGTTCATTACATTATTTAATTTGTTTGCATTTTTTCATTTTGTTTTATATTTCGATTAATAAAAAGAATAATGAGATAATAGAGATAAATGGTGTACGGACAATTTAATATGTTTAAGATAAATGATGAGAAGTTAATAAAAATAAGAAGAAATGAAGAATGAAGAATGAGAAGAGAAAAGAAGCAGGGCACCGGATAAATATAAGAACGTTCCTGATTCTTGAAGGCGGTCGACCTGTCGGTACGATAGAAAACAGGTGTTTATAATCGGTAGGTTCCGTCCACCGAGCGAGGCGGCAGGGCTGTGGCTCTTGTGGCAACATACAAGGGGGCGCGCCATGCTCGTGGCAAGACTTCTTGTTGCTCTCATTCCCAGGCGAAATACTGTTCGTCGCTGTTTTCTGTTGTGTTTTTGGGATAGTAGAAGGCGAAAAACATGTCGTTTTGATAATCTTACGTACGATAAAACGGGCCTGAGCGGATTGATCGTGGTGCCCAGGGTCGGCCGGCGCTCCTATACCGTGGCCCCGTGCTACGTGCAGGTGTAATTTAATAAGGAGCGCAGGGGAGGTTGGCGATTTAACAGGGATATCGATTTGTCCGCCGAGTGCTGTGCTGGCTCCATCGCAAGACCCAGAAGCAGGCAGCCATGGACGTCGATATTTTTGGGGCACAGCCTGCCGCAGCACCGTGTTGGGTATGTTGCGTCCGAGCGAGTCCAGAGGCCTGATAGGGCCCGAGAAATGCGACGATTCGCCGGCCGATAACGCGGTGCGAGAGTAGGCAGTAAAAAAGGGGCAAAGACGGCGAGCCGCGGTACGGCGGTACGCTCCTTACCACGAATTTTATTGTCAGGACGGCGTGCCGCGTAGGAATTCAAAGAATTTTTCAGTATCAGGACCGTACCGATAAACCACGATGGATCTTGGCATCGTAGGTAATGCAACGGGTGCATCCGGGGGGGCCGTCGCCTGTCCCGTTTGCACTCTTTATTTGCGCGAGGGTATCAGCCTTCAAAGACACTTGGATACACATCCCAAGGAACAGGTCATAGAGGCCCTCATTAAAGCCAGCTCTACGACCTCTCAACAGACACAACAACTTCCATCGCCAACATCAGTACCTCCTGTTCCTTCCAGCATTCAATCACCACAGAATACACCGCAGCACATCCAACAGACGACTGCACATGTTTCTGCTCAGTCTCCATATCCCATAGGGCCTATATTTGAATGTCCACCGATTGGTACTATGATGCCTCCTCAATTTGCCTCGTTTAGTTATCAACAATTTGTCAATAATGGGACCATGATGATACCACAGTACGCAATGGCTCCGCAGACTAATCAGATGATGCAAATGTTGTATAATCCATATGGTATGTATCAGCAGCAACAGATACCTACTGTTCAAATGATCTCTCCGGTTGCAGCCATTCCTAATACCACAAGGATAAGACCTGTGGTTACTATGGCTGGTGAAACCAATAACAGGACCACCATCACCGTACCTGTAAATAGTTCTGAGCCAAAGCAGATCTTACCTGAGATATTGCCAGAGCCTGAAGTAGAAAATGAACAAGATCTGCCTGACATAAATTTCCCAGCATCCCCCGAAGTAGCTAATGAAAATACTTCTATGCAGCAAGATGGAAATGAAAATAGTAGAATTCAAATAGAACATAGAGGCCAACAGATACAAAATCCAACCATTCAGGATCAAAGTTCTGTGCAGCACGAATACAATAGCATTCCTAGATCTTTAACTATCGCTTGTAACATTGAAAATGAAGATGATGACAATGCCGAAAGTGTATTGCCTGATATAGACGAAAGAGAAACGGCACACATAGTTGCATCGGTTGTCCAATGCAAACCCACACATTATGAAGAACAATCTGAAATACGAAGGTTTGATCAAGAATATAAAAATGATACTAGTAAGCTCAATTTAGAAACGCAAGATGTACTTGGAAATACTATTGCAATAGAAAAGGAAAAATTAGAGGGGGAGAAGTCTTCGGATGAAAAAGATAAGAGTGAAAATGAATCTGTCCCATCTCAAGTTCCTTCAACAGAAATGACAAAAGATACTGCACAACCTGAGGTAGAACAATTGGAACAATTATTAATCACTATTATGGAATCAGAATTTAATAGTGCATCAACGAAGGAGCATGACGTACAGAAGGATGAGGAAGGGAAGGAAAGTATGGAGGAAAGTGCTTCAGTTCATGCGGACGAGGAAATAACTCCGAATATAATAGATGTGATTTCAAACTCTCATAGCAGTGATATCAAGGAATGTAATATAGAAATGGAAATTACGGAAGAACCAAAAATATGTGTAGAAGACAAATCAGACAAAAGTTATATTTTATATCATTACAAGGACAGTTTATCTGCTCCACCCTCGCCAGCAATACGAAAGAAGTCTACTCGAACATATTCAGTTCGTTCAGAATTTGGATCAAACGAAAATCTTAGTGTTTATCCTGTCGGATTTGATGCTACTACATTGCAAGACGAAGAGGACGACGACGAAAAGAACATGACAGAAGATAATTTTGATGAAGCAGACATGGAAATAGAAGCAATACCTAGTCCTCATACACCTTTCATGAAGTATGGTGAAAGTGCAGATGGTGTTAGATCCCATACTCCATTGTCTGCTATTAGTGGTATATCAGTACTAAGAGTTCGAAAAGATTTAAGCAAACCTTGTTCTCCTGCATCTGCACATTCATTTTGTCATATAGATGGTGATAGTTTGAGCCATGATGATGAAAGTAACGATTTAAGAGAAATTACAATGGAAAAAGATCCTATTAGTTGTCCACAAATTGAAGAAGAATTGAAAGTTGATAAATATGAAGAGAATGTATGTGAAAATGTGGAGAAGAAGGGTAATAATTCAAATCATGTGTATCATCAATCTGTAATAACAGAGCATGTTAGCTTATTTCCACCAATTCATTCTCAACAACCTGTTTTAATACAGGATTCTTATCCATTACCAAATAACAAAAATCATAATCTTTTAAATTTATCAGAATCCATCAATCCAACTACAAGCACTGAATCAAAGAATTATCATTGTAGTAAATCAATTATTCAAAAACAGTCAATGGAACTTCTTAATATAAATGAGGATGCTCATGCTGGTCCAATGAATGTTTTTGAGTTTGATGGACTTCAAATTTTAGTTCCTAGTACATTTATAAGTGAATCATCACAAAAAGCAGTGAGTGCAACTAGCCAGCAATCTATGGCAAGTAGCGAGGGAGGTGCAGGTATTGACGAAGAAGTCAAAAGTGTTAATATGCGTGCTGACGAAACTATGCCACCCAGAGGTGAATTATCAGAACAAGAAAGTAATGGCTGTACAGAACAGTCTGCTTGGCAGGTTATTATCCTTTTAAATTTTAATCTTAATATTAATTATTCTCGAATTAATTAATTTTGCCCGATTAATTATTAATTGTAATATATTAATTAATTAAAGTATAATGAAAATTGTCATTCCTCTTATGCATTATGTTTTATTAATTTTTAATACTTTTTATGATATAAAATTAATTGTAATAAATTTTTTTAACAGGTTTATATGGGCCAAGAATCTTCAAGAATGTCAACTTCTTATGATCTAATGGCAAGGGAAAGTTGGGAAGAATCAGAAGGATCAGACAATGAAATTAGTGGTCCATTGTTAGATAGTCGATCTTTAGCTACGCATTTTACATCTAGCTTATTCTTAGATCGTGATAGAAAGACGCCTACAAAAAGGACATTTAAATGTTCACATTGTCCAGAGGTTTTTGACTGTCCTAAAGAACGTAGAGTCCATAGTACAATGGTGCACAAAGAACCTGGACCTAGCGGTAGTAGAGATGCAACAGAACAACCAGAAGTAAAAGATATAAAATTATTAGACGGGCGTATGAATGTGTTTGATGATATTTTTGTACCAGGCTTACATGTGCAACAAATGTATCATCAACAGCCATTGTTACATCAACTCCAACCGCCACAACCAGATTTAGCAAAAATAGAAACCGATCAGAAAGGTGAAAATTTGACAATTCCTTCGACAGTAGAGGTATCTTGTGCATTATGCAATCAACGATTTAATAGTGAAAAAGCTTTACAGTTACATCATAAGAGAATGCATATAGTTGAAGTATCGAAACGTATTCGTGAACAGGCAAAATGCGTAATATGCAACGAAGAATTCCCATCTGTTGTATTGTTTAATGCTCACTTAAAAATACATCCGTTAGAATGTGGACAATGCGGAAAATACTTTTATAGAAAGCAAAATTATAAATTACACATGAAACGTCATTTAGGAATCAAGCCCTTCCCTTGTACACTATGTGATAAGGCATTTTTAACTAAACAAAAATTAGATGAACATACTAATGGACATACAGGTAATGCCCCTGTAAAGTGTAATTTGTGTAATGAAACTTTTCGTAGATATTCAAATTTAACTCAGCACAAGAATAGACATCATCTTAATATTAAAAAGAAATTGAAAGACTATATATGCCAATGTGGAGAGATATTCCATACGAAGAAAAAATTAGCATGGCATAAAGAGACACATGATGAAAAACCTAAAGCATGCACATATTGTAATGAAAGATTTATACATATGGCTAGTCTTACACGTCATATGCGTCGTGCTCACAATAGGAGATTTGTTCCTGATGCTCAAAGAGAAAATGAAAATGTGGAGTGTCCAATATGTAAATGTATTTATTTGCGATCATCCTTAGCCGTTCACATGCGTGTCCATAATGGTGAAAAACCCTATGAATGTCAGGTTTGTTCCAAGGCTTTTAGTACGAAATGGAATTTACAATTGCACAAGTGGACTCATGCAGCACGTAGCACGAAACCATTTAAGTGCAACCAGTGCAGCGCTGCATTTTATCGACACAGTGATTATACAGCTCATATGAATTCTCATCGGAATGTACGTCCATATACGTGTAATTACTGTGGAGCTCAGTTTATACGAAAGTATAACTGTTTAAGACATGTAAAAGAACACGAGGAGAATAAGGCATATACATGTGACGTTTGCAACAAAACTTTTCATAGGTCATATTATCTAAAAGAACATTTAAGAGTGCATTCAGGAGCAAGACCATACACATGTCACATCTGTGGGAAATCAAGTGGTACGAAATCTAATCACAATAAGCATGTAAGAATTCATCATGCCCGAGAACCTGTAAATACTGAAAACTAATGAATCTTAGATTTTCATGAAGTATTATAATTGACGGTATCAACTAGTCTGTGACACTGGGTCTATTTGAATCAAATAGAATAGAAAATAAATATTATAACGAAATATCTTATATTATCGGGAGCTTATATTAATGATTAAAAAAAGAATTATTTAAGAACAAAACAAAAACGAAGAAAAGAAAAAAAACACAAAAAAAAGCCAAAAAAAAAAGAGAAACAAAAATAGAAACAATTTATATAATGTAATAAAGCTGATATATATATATATATAAAATATTTTCTAAGTTATAAAATGCATTTTATGAGATTAACTTTTTAATATTATATTTTATAAAATAATATTATTTAATTCGTGAAGTCTTAAAAAATTATTTTATGTGAAATTAATTAATTTTAATTTATCCAAAATTATTTTTATTGTGTGATTTTATCTTATCAAGAATGATTGAAAAGATCCAGTGAATTCAGACTCTAACTATATATAATAGGATAAAGAAGTTTTTTGAAGAAAAATCGACTAATATGTGTCTCAAAGACTCGAGTAGTTCCTTTAATGAAAGGCTACACATGAATCGCGTTTGCCAACTAATAGTTATTACCTATTTCATAAAAAACAATTAACCAATTAATATTACGTAAATATTAAACTCTTTTACGTGTCGATCGTTGTAAGTAATTTTTTTACAATGACTATTTTTCATGAAGTGTGCATGTTGAAGTTCGCACATCGTCAGTGCCCAGTGTAATAAGTGAGACAGCCCGTGTTTATATGCGCTGTTCATTGCGCGAGGGCTTATTAGTTACTATCATTACAGACTATCATACAACATATATGAATCTTAGTTGTTATTCTTCTATATTTATATATTTTGCAACATATAAAGTGATTTTTATTGGTAATTCAAATTCCAAGACTGATCGATGTTGGTTCTCTGTATTGCTCTCCGATACAAATATTAATCATATATGTATAATCACATGTATATTAATATTGCATATCTCAAATTTTTCCCAGTTAAATGTACATTTCAATAATTTCAAGAGAAAATCACTTTTCATATATTAGATGTGCGAAGTATGTAATTTTGATGATTTTAATTATTTGTATGAGAGAGAGTAGAACAGAGTGATGAAATTCAAAGTTGTTTGAATTAATACTATGTATAACATAGTTATTCTCAAATCTATTAATTCAAATTTCTACAGTTAATTGCACTGCCGATCAAATAGTGCATATTGTCATTGTACAATGTTGTAAAAGTGATGTGACAGCAAATTTGGAATTCCAAATTTTATATATTGTATTACTTTATGTTGAATACATATGTATATATATATTTGAATATACTTTATTTAATAATCATAAATTAATCATGATTACCTTTAAAAGGTTTTAAACGCAAACGTAACTTACGCATAATTAATATAAATGTTATTTATGTTATTAAATTCCTATGCTATTTTTGTTATTTCAATTCTCGCACATGTATTTTTAATGTTATTAAATGTTTACATATATCATTAAATTCAACATGCTTCAATAAGTGATTTTATACTTGTACAGGCAAACTAAAATATTTGTTTAAGCCTTTATGTACAAATATGATATGCAAGTACTTGACAATTTCAGGCGGTGTATAAAACCCACCTGTAACCAACATCGACGTCCAAGTGTGCAATTGTTTAGTTAAATATGTATTCTCAATGAATACTGTGTGTAAATAGTGTAAATATGTATATTACTTCTATTTTATAGTAGGGCCAATTGCATTGGCAATTGAATATCGTATTGATTCATGCTACACATGAACATAAAACTAGACTAATCATTATCGTAAAAATAATAAATCAGCATGTGTATACCTTAATAAAAATGATGTATATTGAGGTACTTTTTTAAATAAGTTTTTTTTTGTTTTTTCATTTTTCATTAATTAATATGTTAGCATCCCATGTTTACATTTGAAAATATAATTCTAAGTTGAAAAGGAAAAGTTAACATTGTTCATAATTTTTCACAGTTAAAACTAGATAATACCATTAGATTTTAAGATAAAATTGATCTCATGTTTCACTATTATATTTTCATGAACGTCTACAATAATGATGCAATAAAGCTAAATATTGATTGTGTAATATAGTTTTGTTTACAAAATAAGCCAAGTGATCATATTTTGAAATAATTCGTTTAAAAGTGAAATTGAACAATTTAATTTAATAAGTTTTATATGGAAAACAATCATATTTATTGTCAAAATATTATCAGATTAATGTTCTTGCAGTGATTTTGTAAATTAGACGTCATTAACCTCTTATGTTTATTATTTTTAAATTATTTGATATTTTGAATAAAATTGATAGAAATATTTGTTTATATATATATATATATATATATATATATATATATATAAATTGATAATAGATTTGATTAGTTAACAATAATCTATCTGTATGGAGAAAGGAAAGAAATTAAGGTACGTTTTATTACGTATATTTTATACGATTCAATTTGTCTATAAACTACGTCAGATACATTTTAAATTTGCCGCCATTAGGAGTTTATTATTAATCAGGCGCGAACGCTGACTTTGAAATGTCACGTGGTTAGCCGGTAAAGATTTCATATTTCTTTGATCAGACTCTAACGATGCGTCTCGTTACACTTAACCTAAAATGTTTGTATTATCTTAGATAATTATTTTACTCTTTTTTATAATTTATAAGAATATTGAAACGTTTCGTGGGATTAAAAAAAATAAAATGACTACGAAAAGGAAACCTGAAACACAAGTACCAGCAGAAGAAAGTGATTTACTTTCAATTCGACCACTTGGTGCGGGTCAAGAGGTTGGAAGATCATGTATAATGTTGGAATTTAAAGGAAAAAAAATTATGTTGGACTGTGGTATACATCCTGGATTATCTGGTATGGACGCTTTACCATTTGTAGATTTAGTAGAAGCTGATGAAATAGATTTGTTACTGATCTCACATTTTCATTTGGATCATTGCGGTGCCTTACCGTGGTTTCTTCAGAAGACAAGTTTCAAAGGACGTTGTTTCATGACTCATGCAACTAAAGCAATTTATCGTTGGCTTTTATCTGATTATATTAAAGTAAGTAATATTGCAACAGAGCAAATGCTATATACAGAATCAGATTTAGAGACTAGTATGGATAAAATAGAAACAATAAATTTTCATGAGGAAAAAGATGTTTTTGGGATAAAGTTTTGGGCATATAATGCTGGACACGTGTTAGGTGCTGCTATGTTTATGATAGAAATAGCTGGTGTTAAAATTTTATATACTGGAGATTTTAGTCGTCAAGAGGATAGGCATTTAATGGCTGCTGAAATACCAAATATTCATCCAGATGTATTAATAACAGAATCTACGTATGGAACACATATTCATGAGAAGAGAGAAGACAGAGAAGGAAGATTTACAAATTTAGTTCATGAAATTGTTAATCGAGGTGGTAGATGTTTAATACCAGTTTTTGCTTTAGGAAGAGCACAAGAACTTCTTCTTATTTTGGATGAATATTGGAGTCAACATCCTGAATTACATGAAATACCAATTTATTATGCATCTTCTTTGGCAAAAAAATGTATGGCTGTTTATCAAACATACGTAAATGCAATGAATGATAAAATTAGACGGCAGATAGCAATCAATAATCCATTTGTATTTAAACATATTTCAAATTTAAAAGGTATCGATCATTTTGAAGATATTGGACCTTGCGTGGTTATGGCATCTCCAGGTATGATGCAAAGTGGCTTATCAAGAGAATTATTTGAATCTTGGTGTACTGATGCAAAGAATGGTGTTATAATAGCTGGTTACTGCGTAGAGGGTACATTAGCAAAAACTATTTTATCGGAACCAGAAGAAATTACAACTATGTCTGGACAGAAATTGCCATTGAAAATGTCAGTCGATTACATATCATTTTCAGCTCACACTGATTATCAACAAACTTCAGAATTTATACGTATTTTGAAACCACCTCATGTAGTACTTGTACATGGTGAACAGAATGAAATGGGAAGATTAAAAGCTGCTTTACAACGAGAATATGAAGATGATCCAAATACTACAATGGAAATTCATAATCCTAGGAATACAGTTGCTGTAGAGTTATATTTTAGAGGAGAAAAAACTGCTAAAGTTATGGGCACATTAGCCATGGAAACACCAAATCCAGGACAAAAATTATCTGGTGTTTTGGTTAAACGTAATTTTAATTATCATATGTTAGCTCCTTGTGATTTATCAAAATACACAGATATGAGTATGAGTCAAGTTATACAACGGCAAAGTGTCTACTTTTCAGCTTCGTTACCAGTATTAAAACATCTTCTAACGCAAATAGCCGGCAACTTAGAAGTTATAGATGATAAAAAATTAAGGGTTTTTAAAAATATTGATGTGACTATTGATGGAAAGATTGTTATGATGGAATGGATTGCCACACCAGTGAATGATATGTATGCAGACTCTGTTTTAACTGCAATATTGCAAGCTGAGATGATGGAACAACCTCCTAAAATGTTACCTGCACCAACAAAAATGGATAGAATGCATTTTAAAGAATGTCTAATAGAAATGTTACAAGAAATGTTCGGAGAAGATTCAGTTCCGAAAATTTTTAAAGGAGAAAAATTATATGTAACTGTTGATGGTAAAAAGGCACATATAGATTTATTAAACTTAGAAGTTACCAGTAAAGATGACGAAACTTTTCAACAAATAGTACAAACAGCTGTAACAAAGTTACATCAATCATTAGCACCACCTTGTGATACAATATGAGTGATTACATTTTCAAATATTTTTATATGCTTGCACAATACAATATTATGAAATATGATTTATTTCGACTAATATTTTAATATATCAAAAATACATAAAATATAGAAATTACATTTCCATTGATTTACTAATATGACAAGGTATATATTATAATAGTTTATAATCGGTACATTCTTCATTCTGTAAATATGATTTAAAATTCACGATATCATATAATATTTTATATTATTTTAAATAAGTTAAAAATTAAATAAATAAAAAATTAATAATAAATTAAAGATTAATATGATTTATCATTATTTTTCTTAATAATTATGGCAGTTATAATTATCACATTGGATAATTATTAATAATTTAAATATGATATTCCTTCAGGTCACCCCATGCAGGGCCAACTTTTATTTTCACCGGTAATGGCACTGCAAGTTGACATACTTGTTCCATTGATTCTTTAACTATTAATGCAACTTGTTGCAGATCCACTATGTTTACCTTAAATCAAATAATTTTAATTAAAATAATTTCTAAAGAATTCTTCTTTAATTAATAATATTTGTTTGATTATTCTTACTTCATATAACAACTCATCATGAAGTTGTAACACTAAATAAGCACCTCTTAGCCTGTCATCTTTTCGCTGTTTCCTTAATTTCTGTTTAAGTTTTGTCTCTGGTATGATAATTGCTGAATTTGGAAATTCGTTTCTTATTCTATCTTCTATATTAACCATAGCTTGTTTTGCTATATCTGCTGCAGAACCTTGTACTTTTGTGTTCACTGCTTGTCTTTCTGCTTGTGCTAAAATATATTTGATATTTACCCACAGTATTTTTCTTAGATTTAATATTTTTCAGAATTTCTCTTACCTTTTTCATACAAATTAGTACTTTGTAAACCAGGAAGCATTCTACGTCTTTCCATAAGAGTTGTAATATAACCATTTTTATGTGCTTCTATATTAATATCTTTAAGCCATTTATGTACGCCTGGATATGCATTTATGAAAGACTCTAAAAATGTTTTAGCTTCTGTTTCAGTTATTTTTAAATTTTCTGCTAATGTCTTGACACCCATACCATATATCATACCATAACATAATTGTTTAGTACTTTGTCGCATATTATCATCAATCTGAACATACAATACAATTATATTAGACGATTGTGGATAATAATTTCTATGGATAAAACAAACAAAATGACTGAAATTTATTATACCATATCTTCTGATATATTATTCCATGCAGCTGCAATATTTTTAAAAATATCACCTTCCTTACATAAAATATTACAAAGTATTGGATCTTTAGAAAAATGAGCTAATATTCTTAATTCAAGCTGACAATAATCTGCGGATAATAGAACATTCCCTTCAAATGGTATAAATGCCATACGAACACTTATTACAAAACTATTATTTTCAGAATTAAAATCTTTTGGTACATTTTGCAAGTTTGGTTCATGCATTGTAATTCTTCCAGTTAATGTGGAAGTTTCAGAATTTCCATGAATTCTTGAATTATTTTGAGCCAGGCATAATATTGGATGAACGATCTATAAAAAGAAAAAAAGAAAAAAAAATTACAATCATACATAATAAATATACAATATTTTATGTAATAATATATTTAATAAGCGAATAATGTATCTACCTTGGTTTGGGTAGCATTAAGTTTACGCCAAGAAATAACAAGACTAGAGATTGGATTATTATATTGTTCTAAAACTGCTTTATTAGTACTAATTTTTTTCTTTCCTTTATATAGTCCCAAAACCTATGTCAAAAAATATAATATTATTATAAATTATATTACATATGTTATAAAATTATGATAGAACTTTTATACAAACCTGACTGACTTCTTTGGCCGAAGAAAAATTAAATTTTCGTCCTGCCAAAGAATACGCTCGTTCTTTTAAGGAAAACATTTCGTCTTCTATCACACGAGACAATTCTTGTAAAGATTTTAAATGTATACCGAATCCTGTTAACTCCATACGAGCTAACAGTGTAATAGTTCTCATTTCAATTTCTAAAAACATAATCATTTTATCATTTCTTTTTCATTGATATAAATATAATAAAAATAAAAATATATTATTTATTTATCTTTATAAAATTAAAAATAAAACTATTTACCTTTAAATGTATAAATTAATACGGGACAAAGTTCTTCTAATTTGCTTAGTAATGTATCCATAACATGCCATGTGAGAACAACTTTAGCAGATGCTTTAAATTCGAATGGTAATTTATTTCTTACATTTGTGTCAGTATCAAAGTATTTTATTATAAAAGATCCTGAAGGAAAATATTCCAACACCTATTTATAAATTAAATATATTTTATTCCAGATTTGTTTTTAAACATTTTCTTTTTTTTTTCTCTCTCTCTCTCTCCTTTCTCTTAAATTAATTTTTACCATTTCATTCCATTTTTTCTCAGAGATACTGCCGTGTAATAACCAGTCAGCAGTATAAGGATCTAGAAATCTACAAGTAGCTGCTACTTGGAAACATTGATATAATGTTTTATACAATTTCTTGGTTGAAAAACATCTTATATACAATGACTTATTAGAAAGTAATTCCTTAAAGAAATTTATTTGCTCTTTAATGGATACCTTCAAATCTGTAATATTAAACACATCAGTTTTGTATTATCATTCTAAAGTAATTATAAGAACAAATTTTTTTCACAAAAAAAAAAAAAAAAAAAAAAAAAAAAAAAAAAAAAAAAAAAAAAAAAACACCTAATACCTTTCATTTCACAGAATGAAATATAATATGCAATATTCTTTTCCCAAGAAATAGCAGCACCACAAATTTTTTTATCCCCATTAATTAATTGTTCACTTTTTCTAGATTTATTTTTTCCTTCAGTAGTGGAACTAACAATTTTATTTCCTATATTGTTAGATTCATTTACATAAGATTCACAATGCAAAGCCAATGCAATACTTGTATTCTTCATAACTTCACGTTTAAATAAATTAAATGTTGCTTTATCGCTTCCAACTTTGACAATATTTAATGTATTCCAATCAATATTTTCATTGATATGTTCTACTTTGTTAACATATAAATTTATTTGCACGTCTGATTGAATTTGCTTATTATGAAATGAGCTTGTTTTAATAATAGGCAAAGTTGTTTTAGGTCCTTTGATTATTTTTGCTTTTTTAATTGGTGTATCTTCATCTGAATTGGATATAATACTGTCTGTACTGTAATTTGCATTGAGAAGAATGTTTTTTTCTAATAATTGCCTTAATTTTGGTTTATCCTTATTTATGTTACTATTGCTAATTTCTATTTTATTTTTGTTTATAACAACAGAAGGTTCTAACTTCGATAATTTATCTTTATAAACTTTCATAGGTGTTTTTGTTGTTTTCTTTAATTTCAATCTTTTTTGAGCAGCTATCATTTCTTTTGGGGAAGATGTTATGACGTCCAAATCTGATTTATTAGAATCTAATGATATTTTGTTATCAAGATTTGATGTAGTTTTATTTATTATAAAAGGTCCTTTATCAGAAAGTTTTCGTAAATTGTATTTGCATGATATTTTATTGGTATCTTGTTCAGAAAGACGATCACAAGATTTAGATTCTATATCATTTTTATTATTAACTTGTAATGAACTTATTTGTATGTCACAATTTTGTGATACATTTTTTATATTTTTCATATTGTTAATACTGTTATTTATTATCTCTATATTTTCCGTATCTAATTCATTTATTTTATTCAATAAAAGTTTTGATTCGTTCCAAGAATCATCATTCCATGTTATCATAACGGGTTTATCTTCTACTTCTGTACCATGAGAAGAAACTTTTTGCGATATATTATTCGCGTTTGAATTTAATTTTACCATTGGCAAATTATTTTCTACCTCATGATTTAATAATTCCTTTTGACTCTTCATATTTATTTCATTTTTCGTTTCAGCATTAATACTTATATATGAAGAAAAATGTAAAGAATCAATAATATTCTCTTCAAGCACATTGTACATTTGTGTGTCAAGATTTAAACTTTCGTCGAATAAACTAGGACTTCTTGGAACAGAAAATTTCATATTCATTTCAGACTCGTTTATATTATTATTTTTACAATATTTTAATAAATTAATATCATCAATATTCTTTTCTTCGTGAATTCTTTTTCTGGACATTTTTGGAGTAATTGATGACTCACTGTCACGTTTATGCTCAGTACTATCTATTATTTCAGGAATATTATTTTCAATGAAATTAATGGTTGTATCATTTAAATCTTTCGAATATCTTGATTTATTTTCAGAATTTTTATCAATGACATTTCTAGCATCGATGTTACTATTTTGTTCCATAATGTTATTATGTTCTAATGGTATAGAATCTTTCATAGAAATATTTCCAGTTGAATCAATGCGAGAAAAATTCTTGTCGTTTTTATCCACATCATTCATTTTTCTTTCTGATGCATTCAGATAATCTATATTCGCATCTATATTATCATTTTCCAAAACAATATCTTCTTTCGACACATTAGATTGATTATTACTATTACATGTAGTATCAGTGACTGTACAGTTATTATGCGACCATGACATATTTTGTAAACCTAATTCATTCTGTAGAAAAAAAACGGATATAAAATATTTTATTATACAATAAGTAAATAGTTTTATATATCTATATTAATTAACCTGAATTAATATTCTAGCTTCTTTGACTAATAAAGTAGCAGCTTCATGCGGTGTAAGCCCATCTTTTCCTGTAACGAATACCGTCCTCATTTTATTTCTTGTAATAGCTTCTAATTCGTGTTCTCCATCATGTTCCTTTTCACTGTGTTATAATAATGATTATATATCATGATAAAATTTTGCATAAAGATTGTATATATAATCTAATATATACCTTTCAAACGGGAGTGCTTTATATAGTGCTCGTTCAACATCAAGAATATTAGCAACAGCTAAGTCTGCTATAGTAGTAATTCCTTGTTTATAAAGACTCCTTGCTCGTAATCCATTTAACATGGAAATACGTAATAAATCTAATAATTCTCTACATACTCCAAATTGTAGACGTGTTTTAAATTGTCCTATTAATAACTCCATACAATCCCAGCCAAGTTGTTTACAAAATTGTGTAACCATTCCTAATGGGGATAAAAAATATTTAATTATATGCACACAAAATTAAATTTAATGAAATGCAATATAATGTTACCAGCAAAAGTGGAAGCACTTTGTTGTAAACTTTGTAGTACTCCACGACAACAATTATACTTGTTACAAACTGTGTTCAAAGGAATCTCTCGTACTAGATCATGTAAAGCTAATGCTGTGTAAAATCGTTGATGTATTCTCAACTAAAAATATAAATAATATTTACAAATTATTAAAAATACAATAATATACATAATGAGAAGTTATATTTGTTTTAATTAATATAAATAAAAGTATTTACTAACTGGCTTGCCTGGTTTCACAACTCCTCTGATAGCTGACATTAAAAAACGTTCTTCTACACCAATAAGTTGACCAACTCTTTTTTCACTTTCTGACATTGATTTCCATAATTCCATAAATACCATCCAATCTATTGTTCCAATTTGACTTCCACCATTCACTGGAGTTACTAAATAAACAACATGCAATTCTGTGTCTAAGACAAAACATCTTCTAGCTCTCTGTAATTCTTCAAATAAAAATAATCCTTCTATCGGTGAGATGGATGCAGCAAGACATGCTTTTCCTAAAGGTGTTGCTACCCATCTTTCTTCTTGTTCTGTGGTTTGCAATCTATAAATAAATATTATACAAAAGAAGCTTAATTATATAATAATATATTATAACAAATAAATTTTTTTTTCTTACAATAAAAATTCATTATCCGTTAAATATTTAATTGCCTCAGTGGATAAATTTATCATAATATCTTTTTTATTTATGCTTGCTAAAGTGCAATTCATGTATAGTTCAAGATCAGCTTGTGTATATACAACTTCACTAGCTACAGCTTCTAAAAGTGTTCTGATTAAAGGATTTGAATCTTTCAGACATGATTCTATTGGTTTTAATGTTGCAGACAATAAACATTCTGCAGCTTTCCGTTCATTTGGTTTACATATTAAAATACTCTCTCCTGTAAAAAAAAATTCACGAACATATGCCTATCTTACTCTTTGTAATCTACGTATATTTATATATTTCTTTTTTTTGTTCAATACCTGCTGTATCTCTTCCCATTCGACCTGCCCTTCCTATCATTTGTTTATATGTCAAAGTATCTAATACTTTACCACCAAACATAGGAGACCTAATAATTACTCTTCTTGCAGGCAAATTAACTCCACTACTTAATGTTGATGTTGCTACAAGAACTCTCAGAGATCCTGATCTGTGATAACAAAATTTATTTTATAGTAAAAATTGATTTTGAAATTACATATAATAAAAATTCAATCTATAATATAATACCTGAAAGCTCCTTCGATAACATCACGTTCATCTATCGTAAGACCAGCATGATGAAAAGCAACACCAAATGAAATTATATTTTTTAAGGTATTATCTAATCCACATGGACAACGTTTCAATTGTTCTATAGTTTCGAGAATAGCTGTACCATTTAATTGTTCCTTTAATATATTCCCAAGTATTGTATCTTTTTGACCTACAAATATTGATTTCGTCATTGTTTTTTTTTTTTTTTTTTTTTTTTTTTTTCATACCTATTCATTCATAGATATCAAGTAAGTACCTAATTTACAAAATGTTGTTGCTATTTGATATGTCAATTTTTCACACCAATTCTTTGTTGGACAAAATATTAAAATGCTATTACCATCAGATATAGTTTCCATACATAATTGTAAAATATTATCTGTATCCATTGGTAACTCGGATAATGATACTAAATTTCTATGAAGTTTCATCTCATTATCATATATACTTTTTCCAATCTGTAATTAATAAATTTTTTTTTATTTACACACATTAAATATATTTAATATGCAAAAAGATAAAACTTACTTTACATTGTTCCTGTAATGGTATAGGTCTAAATTCAGTCTTATACAATTCTGCATCTAACCATTCAGCTAACAAAGTCAGATTTGGAAGCGTAGCAGACATACCAATTAATTGTACATTAATACTTGTTTCTCTGTAAATTTTAAGTATAAATAATTATTTTGTTATTACATATAAATTTATATTATATATAATTACCTCAAAGACATATATCTTAATTTGGTAAGTAATAACTCTAAGAGATAACCACGATTTGGATCACCTAACAAATGTAATTCGTCTATTACAATTGCTCCCAACGTAGATAAATCTCCTTCCTCCATTAAACGATTTATTATAGAATTTGCTTTTTCTATAGTTGCTATGGCAATGTCGGTAGCTGTAAATCCACCAGGAGGAGTTATACCTCCCATAAATCCTTCTACTTTAATTCCACATTCGGATAAAAGATCCTAATAAAATTCCATCATATTATATGTTATTATTATTATCTTTAAAACTTTTTCTTAAAAATATTTACCTTAAAATAATACATTTTTTCTCTAACAACAGAAACAAATGGTAAAACAAAAATAGCTTTCTTTTTATATTCTAATACTGCTTTTAAAAGAAGAATCTCTGCTACTAAAGTTTTCCCAGCAGATGTAGGAGCTGAATATAGAATATTTTTTCTCCCCTGTATTACTTTACAATTGGATAAACATTCCACCTGCCATGGAAACATTTGTGATATTCCTTTGGCTTCATATTTCTTTAATTTAAAAATATTATTATAAATATGCTTGTAATTAAATGGATAAATGATTAAAAATATATTAAATATATCTATACCTGAAGAATAATTGGTGGTAGACCCCAAGATGCCAATTTACATTGATCTTGTGTACAAATCTGAGATGATACTTCTATACTTGAATTACTATTATTATCAGTACTTATAATAGTAGATGTTTTATCTTTGCAATGTGATATATCGCTATTACTTATATTTCCTTTTATATTTTCCTTTAGATGTTTACCATTATTTTCATCGTATAATAATGGCTTTGATTTGTTATTTTGATTAAAATTTATATTTTTTAGATGACAATTTTCATCTTCTACACTTTCAGAATTAATATTACCTTTATTTAATTTCTCAATTTCAATATAATTTTCCGAATGCTTCTTATTCGATTCAGAAAACTCTAATATCATATTTTTATTACATTGATTATTAAATTTGTTCTCAGATAATGTAATACTATCTTTAAAATATTTTCCAAGATCCGATTCATTTCGCATTTGTATCCTTTTTGTATTATCATGAGTATTTAATAAATTACTACGTGATTTGCTTAGATTCTTTGATAATGATATACTATCTTTAAAATATTTTCCTAAATCACTTTCATTTTGATGTGACAAGACATTGCTACTTCTAGTTTTTATTTTTGAACGTATAGACGAATTTTCTGTGGATATCATATTATCTTAACTATAATCTTAGTTTTGTTCTTGGAATATTTATTGATAAAAAAAAAAAAAAAAGAAAAAAAAAAGAAAAAAGAAAAATATTTTCAAATTAATCTAACAACAATAAATTAACATTTCATATGACAATTCAATTTAAAAATTGTATAATATATCTCACAAATTAACAAATACTTATGTAATACACTTGTTTTCGAGCAAATATAAATAATAATAAATAAGATTAAATAAATAAATTAATTTTAATAAAATCTGATTATACACATGATTAATTAAAATAACTACATATTTAAAGTTTACAATTAAACGACGTTTAGGTGGCTGTAGAAAAACGCCGCCATGGTGTTCCCGCCTTTTTTCACAAACTACTTGAAGAAATTCATTGGGCTCGGTCGATAAAATAGATCTCATACTTTTCGACATATAAATAACCTCAGTGGTTCTCAAAATTCCCATAACCTTTACATTTCGTGATTATGAATTTAATATAAAATTTGATTTTATAAGAATAAAATTAATTAGTTTAATTGAAGTCCTTGCAAAACACATATTTTCATGATTTTGGTCGAAAAGTGTCGATGTTTCGTAGCTGATTGAAAATGAGATAGGACGATATCGAAGTTAGATCGAAGATCGATATCAAAGTAAAGATCCTCTTCAATGGTGAACTGACTCTAATACGCTTATATAATTAGTTATTTATTAATGGATGTTGAACTAAATTTACTAAATCTTTTAATTTTCAATTATTTAAACATTCTTTAATATATATGAAGTAAATACTAAATACAATTAAACAATAGAAAGAACGCATAGCCGTACGAGAAAATTAAAATAATTTTAATATAAGATTTTCAATACATACAAATTTTCATAACATCATAGAGATGGCCTTGTGTAATGTAAACATAAACAGTCTATTGATTAACTTTGATACGGAGTTAGTATCCTTTCGTACTCCGACGTGTACACATCGATGGTCTCTATCTCTCTCTTTCTAAACGTGAAATCTTATAAATTAATAAATACTTTTGATAATTTTTCATTTACACGCAATCGATAGAAATACATGATCGAAATATAAATCGTGGGATAATGTCGGACGATGGAATTATTTATGAATGGGGTCTAATACATCTTCTAATTAATTAAGAAGCCTGAGAAAGTTCCTGAACAGAAAGATATCACAGATTGATATCGCGGAACGTGTATTTTAAAGTAGAATTAATGTCAGTCCGTGGGTCACCAGATGCAGCAACCTCCACGTGGTGTGACCTGGGTCGATAGTACTTGGCTATATATTGATATCTAATTGTAAATCATGCGACGCAAGTACTATCGTGCGAATGGCTGCATATTTTAAGACTTCCACGAAATCTTTTCGATCTAATTTTAACTAAACATTGAAATACTTATATTTTATATTGCTATTTATGTTTCAATAATATAAATTAATAATAAAGTTAAATAAACAGATTAGACATAATAGAATGTTAAAATAAAAATCTTTAAAATATTCTGTTGTCTTTATAGAACAAACTGATGTCATAAAAGTTCATGAAAAGTACTTGTTAATAATAAAAGAAAATCATTTTTTTAATTTGTTAAGCGTATGCATTAACATTGTTAGTATATCTGTATATACGATATACGTAAGGGTCATTAAGCTTTTGATCATAATATTGTCGCAAAAATTCCGATTTTTTAATAGGAACACATGACAATGGTGGAGGTCGTCGAATAAAATAATACAATTCATTCATAATTTCTTGTCATAATGGATACAATTCAATGATATTATTTTTTTAAATTGAAAATACAAAACGAACGCGCGAGATGGCGCCAGTGGTATTAAAAATATTCATTTTTCAAGAATTTAATTCAGGTGTGTTCCGCTAGATGTCGACACTTAAGCCACTTGTCACACCTTTTCAATTCTATATATACGATCAGCTGATAGGACAAAGAAGTAAACTTCTTCATTCTCATGTGCTCCTGTTAAGAAATCGGAATTTTTGCGACAATATGGCGATCGATTAGTGACCCTCTTATATATAGATATACTAACAATGTTAATCCGTATACCGAACGTATTGAAAATGATTTTTTTTTCATAATTAGACATTTTTCATGAACTTTTATTACATTATTTTGTTCTATAAAGACTATAGAATATTCTAAATATATAAATGTTCACAATTTATGCTCGATAACGGGATAAATAATATTTTTAATTAATAGTATTTATTTTAGTTATCTCTAATTGCTATTAATTATAAAATTAACTATTAAAAGACAATTAACGTGAATTTATATGACATTTTAACGTTACAGAAAGGATCTTTTTAATATCTAAATGTTTACTAATTTATACCGAGATATAGCATAAATAATATTTTAAATTGGAATTAGTCATATAGATTAATATGTTATATAATAATTAAAAATATTGATAACAAGAACGTTTGATAAGTTATTATACACATACATACATTTTTCGAAATTATTCCTTCACTATTTTTCGAGAAATAATAATTATAATACAGTCAATATATTAATACCATTAAAACGTTTCAGATCTGTTGAAAAATAATATTATTAAAATAAACAATTATTTTAGATCACGTGTGATATTCGTGCGTATATATAAATAGATAATGAAAAAACAGCTGACAGAACACGACCGATTTCTTAACGATTCATCCTTCTTCATACGATTGTAGTTCATATTTTGTCTACACCTGTCGCTGCTGTCGTAACATTTATTTTTTAAACGAAAGATGGCGAATAGATTTAAACGAGAAGACTTTTTCGAACTTTACAAAAAAAGTTTTATTTTAATGCATGAACTATTCTCGAAATAACAATATTTTTCATACGATTTTTAATATAGCTTTTTTTTTTTTTTTTTTTTTTTTTTTTGAATAATCCACATCATTTAAAACTTCATTCTTAAAATGATGTTTTGTTTATTACGAACGATCAAGAGTTACGACTTCATTGTTGACGTGAAACATTATAAAATCAGGGATCACGAATAATTTCAATTATTACATTACTTTTCTCGTACTTCCTTTTAAATAAAATATTAAAATTATCCAACGAGTATATATCAATGTCTCGAATGGCAAATTATCGACATTTTGAATGTTCTATTTGGATTGTTAAAAAGAAATATGGAAACAATTATTACGATTGATAATATTATAATAATTAATTAGTACGCGAGAAATCTAATCTGATATCTGTGTAAAATGATAAATGCATTAGGCAAATGTTATAATAAAAAGAAGAAATGAATTTGTATCGGTACGTTTGACTTTCTATATGTATTACGTAATATATGTGTATGTACGTATTCATACACATATATGTATATATATATATATATCCAATGATGCTTTCATGTAAACCAAAGTATCTTTTTTACTATTTTTAATTTTTTCGTTATTTCCTGCGTCATATATCATTAATAAAAGATATATAAAATGAATATAAATCGAAGGGACACAATTATAACCTAATCATCATCGAGATATTTAATCGTTATTACGAGATAAATCCATTTAATCGACAAGTATTAAAAACTCGTACGTTAGATATGTTTTATAAAATAAGTAATAGAAGTATTATAATATAATGGAATATTATTTCAGATTTAGATGTACGATTAGTAAGCACAAGAGATGAATCAACCGATAATTCTAAGAATAAACATTTGAAGTAGAGAATACGTAAGATCGTCGTCGTCGTCGTCGTCGTCGTCATCATCGTGAAATATTTTCTTTATTTATTTTCTTTTTCTTTCGTAAAAATTATGAAATCGAATCCAACCGGTTTCGGTTGAATGCAATATGAACATGATTTTGTCGCGCGCACGTGCGTTATATCCTATACGTATACTTGTCATTTAAGGTTTGTGAGAACGTAACCTTGAAACGGCCACCCTCGAAGCGCAAGTTCAGTCGCCGCGGGTGAAACTGACTTTTTTTTTTGCTTTGCGTTCGCGTGTGCCTGAAAGAGAAGTCAAGCGAGGAGAATTTTTACGTTGGATTATACGAAAAAGGGTGTAAATTATTTATTCGAAGATAAAAAAAATGTTGTGTTAAAATATCACGTACTATTATTATATACATAGAATTAATGCAAAAAGAAGGAGTATTATTATAAACGGATTGATAAGTCTTGACTGAGTCTAAAGACATTTTATAGGTTATGAGTCTTAGGAGGATGAATAATAAGTATATTAACAAAATGTCAATCGAGAGAATTTAAACGGCGAAAGATTCGTCTTTAGGTCCACGATAAATTTCTATTAGCAAAGATGGTGCAACGTGTGGTGACACCGAAACGTAGCGTTAGAATTTTGTTAATTGGTGAACGCGGCGTTGGTAAAACATCATTGATATTATCCCTTGTGAGCGAAGAATATGCTGAGGATGTACCTAGCAAAGCCGAGGAGATCACTATACCTGCCGATGTAACTCCTGAACAAGTACCAACTCACATCGTCGATTATTCTGGTAAATAGAATCTATCCTTAGAATGAATATTTGTATTTCTACTTAATTTCTACAATATGTCATGGTCAGTTCATTTATGATTGTTGACGTTTAGCTGCCGAACAAACGGATGATCAATTGGCAGAGGAAATACAAAAAGCTCATGTAATATGTGTAGTTTATTCCGTTGAGGATGAAGATACTCTTGATAAAGCAGCTACGTATTGGTTACCTCTTATCAGACGATGTTCTACAAGTACCAGATGTCCAGTCGTCCTTGTTGGAAACAAAATTGATTTGGTTGATTATTCTACTATCGAGGTCTGTTGTATGTTTAAATAACTATGAATCATGATAGGTTTTGAATTTATAAGAAGATTTATATCATTTCCAGGCCGTTTATCCTATAATGAAAGAATTTTCAGAAATTGAAAGTTGTATAGAGGTAAAGTATTTCACTTATTGTTAGAATATTAATATTTGTAGTATAATGTACACATAAATGTACTACTTGTTTCAGTGCTCAGCTAAAACATTACAAAATGTATCCGAGACATTTTATTATGCACAAAAAGCTGTCCTGCATCCAACTACTCCTCTTTATAATTATGATATCCAAGAGGTATTACTATTTTCTTTTATTTGTTACGCATAAGAATTATAAAAAATAATTTTAACGATTCAAAACTTTTTAGCTTACAGAAGAATGTAAAACCGCTCTTCAAAGAATTTTTAAGGTTAGGCTTAATACCTTTCATATATTATTTAAGTAATTTTATTAATTGAGTAATTTTAAATAATGATTTTAGTGAATTATAGTTTTAGAATTATAATTTTTTTTTTTTTTGTTTGAATTGGCAGATATGTGATTTAGACAATGATGGGCTGTTAAATGATATGGAGTTAAATGCATTTCAACAGTGGTGTTTTAATACACCGTTACAGCCACAAGTACTTGAAGATGTAAAAGCTGTATTGTCCAAAAATATTCACGATGGAATTTGTAATGGTTGTGTAACTATGAAAGGTATACTTCCAACAAGTATATACTAACTTGTGGAAAATTGAAAAATAAACAAATTCTTCATTTGAATAGGTTTCATGTATCTCCAATGCTTATTTATTCAACGTGGAAGAAATGAAACAACATGGGCTGTATTACGAAAATTTGGCTATGATAATGAACTACAAATGTCTAAGGATTATGTACATCCACCGTGAGTAAAAAAAATATGTAAAAATTATTTCAAATATCTTCTATAACTATAATGCAAATTTTGTATCATTATATTCTTTCACATATATAGATTGAAAGTTCCTTCTGGTTGCACAACTGAATTATCGCACAAGGGACAAGAATTTTTAACATTATTATTTATGCAACATGATCGTGATCGTGATGGGGCTTTATCTCCACCAGAAGTAGATTCATTATTTTCACGCTGTTTGAATCCACCATGGGGAGATGAATATAAGCACACAGTGCCAACTAATGAAAAAGGTTGGATTACATTTCAAGGCTACATGTGTCAATGGGCATTATTGACTATTACAAATGTTAAAAAAACATTAGAATATATGGCATACCTTGGGTATAATATGTATAATAATGAATGTCAAACAAGCGCTGTTTTAGTTACTCGTGAGAAAAAATTAGATTTAGCAAAGAAACAGTCCAGTCGAAATGTTTACACGTGTCATGTAATTGGTCAAAAAAATAGTGGTAAAACGACTCTTTGCAGAAGTTTTGTGGATCCTAAATTGGAGGTAGATTATTATATTTATTATTTCATAATGTATATACATATATATATATACATTTCTTTTATATGCATTGTTCAGATATATGATCTAATATTAAGAACATTATATGTCCAAATATTATTTTAGAAATTAACAGATGCAATAATACCTTTAACTGCTCATGTTACTGTCAACACGGTTCATGTATATGGTCAAGAAAAGACAATAATTTTAAAGGATATAAATATATTAAATGTTCAGGATGCTTTAACACCTACACAAATACAATGTGATGCTGCAGCTCTTGTTTATGATACAGCCAATCCTAAATCATTTGAATATATTGCACGAATTTATATTGTAAGTATTATAAAAATATTTTCTGTATTTAAATATAAATATAATAATTGAAAAATTATTTTATAGAAATACTTCGCAGATAGTAAAATACCAGTTTTAATAATAGCTAACAAAAGTGATCTTGCTGAAGTAAAGCAAGAATATTTACTTCAACCAACAAGTTTTTGCAGTAAGTACAAGTTGATGCCACCACAACCTTATAGTGTGTCTAGGGCTGTGCGACGTGAAATATTTGTCAAATTAGCAACAATGGCAGCATTTCCGTAAGTTTAATAATCTTTTTATTTTGAGAATATTGCATATATATATATATATATATATATATATATGTATATATACAACAGGAATTTAAAAATTCAATATATTCACTGTTAATGATTAAAGCAATTTAAAAAAGAAACAAAGTATATAATTATATAATTCAATGAAATTATATCTTTTACTGTTGTTCATTCAAACTAGTCTTCAAAATTTTCTTTTTCTCTTTTTTCTTTCTCTTTCTTTTTTTCTTTTTTTATTTTTTTTTTTTTTTAAGCAATAGTAATTCCTTCTTGTCTCTTTGAAAAAGAATTAAATATATCAATTTATAAGTGCGAATGGTTAAATGAATGTTAGAAACTAACAAGAAGAAATTTCGTGTTTAGCCGCTTTCAACCAGCGTGGGTATTATTTTATAGACACAGGTTGGTCTGGATTTTCTCTACACACATAAATATAAGCTTATGAGCAAATCGTGAATCACATTAGATGTCACGTTAGCTAGAAAATGCTTTATTTTTCATTGCACGTATTATGTGAATTATCAATTTATTATATTGATTGCATTGGGCTCGATTTGCTCAAACTAGTTTTGCATTCGCACGAAAAAATTTCTCATAACAAAGATATGATACTCTTTTCAGCCCTTTGAGGCGTATGGTCCACATGTTGTTTGTCAAACCCTCACCCACTCAATGGTGGAGTTCTTTTACAAGGTTTCTTTTGTATTATAGTTTCTGAAACACAGCATGATTTCAAATGTTAATCAATTTTTATATTTTCACATTTACGTTTTTATCTTTTCAAGCATGAGCATGTGATATATATTCGCATTATAACTAATATAATTAAATCATTCATCAATCACATAATTAAATTTGTTTCTTTTTTTTTTTGCTATATTCTCTCTATTGCAGGGAGAAATAATATTTTATATATCTAATATAACTAAAAAAAAAAAAAAAAAAAAAATAAAAAAAAAAAGAAAAGAAAAAAAAAATATGTAACACATTCTTTTAATCGTGTTTGTTACCTAGAGCTTAATTAATCATTTTCTCATATCAGTTTAATAAATGTCAGCCATAAATCTAATCATTTTAATATAAGTCTTATTGAGTTTTCTGCTTACTTTATAAATATATTTTAAATAGAATTTATATTTTCTCATTATCGTAATTAAAAAAAAAAAAAAAAAAAAACTTATAAAAGTAACTTTCAAAATCATATTACTACATTTCTATATATCCATATGTATGTTTGTCTATATTTGATGGATAGATAGATTAAATCATGAATGTAATAGATGTGTACATGCAATAAAATTTATCATTCAAATGTCATATCTTAAAAATTTCAAATGTCGGAATGTGGTGAGGGTTGTTTTATACTAAGACATTAATATTTCCATTCCTCTCTAACTTTCTTATAAATTCTGTATCTTTCTATATTACAGACATTTAAATCAATTTGGCCTGATACAACAGGATTCTGTAGTTTGGTGGAAAGCCGGTTTGGGAATCGCAGCAGCCACAGTTGCTGGCTTCATGGTGATGCGTGTCCTAAATACAGAAAAAAGATAGTCTACCATATGTTTTTTTTCGCACATTTAACTGCCCCCTTTGTTCAAAAGAAAACCCATCTCAAGAAGCGCATTAAGTTAATAAAATATGTTCATAAATCATTATTATTGGTATAATTAAGAAGCTATTATTGCTGCAACACACATTATTACTTATATACAATAACTTTATTTACTCGTATCGAAAAAAAAAACAACAAAAAACCAAAAAAAAAAGAAAAAAAAATTGTAATCTATTTATTCATTACATAACAATTATTCATTACCTTCAAATGGCAGATCCTAAATTATTATCAATTCTTCTTGGTATATCATTGTAACATCTTTCGAAATATTTTAATGTTAAGCTTGCGAACGATCTTGACTATATCTTTTTTGACACTCGAACCAAGTGTTGTGAAAGCTTTTACAATTATTAAGGTCTTCGTTCTTTGAAGCACACTCAAAAAATTGTCGAATTTCAGGTGAGCATATCTCTTCGATTACATTTGCATAATCGGAAGACGATTCTGCATTCACAGAATTTCCATGTCTTATACCAGTAGACAATGCATTTCCAATAACATGACCCTGTCATTGATAAAAATTTTAATCAATGATATTGTAGAATATAATTTTTGTGAAATAAATTTACTTACTATTACAGAACCAGCGGCTACTCCTGCAGCAGTACTAGCTATACTTTGAAAATTATCAGTCGAACTTTTAGGATTTATAGGATTTGTTTTACGATCTTGTGTAGTTGTAGTATACCTACAAACAATATAAACTGCCTTCAATCAATTATCAATAAGGTAATTTTATGAAAAATATTTAATTTTTTAAATGGACATTATATAAAGGAAATAGAATTAGTCTTTAAAAATAGAATAAAACGAATTCTTTGCTTGGCTTTATTTATACAGAATACAATTTTAGATTATTAATTTTCTCTTGTCTTCATACATATGAGATATACATATATATAATTTGGTCTTCATCTAATATCTGTAAAGAGATGGTTTATGTTACGAAGAGGCATTTGTTATAATAATAATAATAATAATAATAATAATAATAATAATAATAATAATAACATTAATAATAATAATAATAATCTATTGAAAGAAATATATATCTATTAAAATCGTACTATGTTTACGTTTGCAATCCAATAATGCTTTTTTATATAATTCACAAGCTTGTAAATCTGTTTGATTTTGTACACAATCTAGAATTTGTCCTTCCTCGTATTTGCAAGGATTACTAGCATCAGCTTGTATAGATTCACTAGATGCAGCTGATTCATTACGACCAGAAATTTTATCACCGATTACTGTGCCCTGATAAAAAAAAAAAAAAAAAAAGAAAAAAAAGAAGAAAAAAAAACATCTTTTAAATAATGATTTTAATTGTTCAATATATTTTAAATTTATTGATATTCACCGCAGCTACACCAGCAGCTGTTCCTGCTATATGGCCAAACATTCCAGGCTTCTTTTGTGATTGCACAATTATAATATCTGGTCTGCAACAATTTATTTCTTTCTAATATCTATATTTTGGGAAATTTAAAACAGTACTGCATCAATTAAATTAAAATGTTTTATTCATTGACAATAATCTTATAGACATATAGAAATTTAATAAGAATTATAGATATTTAAAAAAAAAAAAAAAAGAAAAAGGAATACGATGGAACTTATTTTATGTTTTTTTTTATCTGGCCTAAATTGTGACTATATATTTATATACGACTAATTTTGTTTTATTCGATACGTAACAATTGAATATACAGACAATTACACTAATATATATTAATATAGAATCATCTTTGCATGATCGATAAAACAATATGAAAAGCTTTCCTAATTAATTCTATTCGCTATTTTCATACTGCCAATTTTATTAAGTTTTAATCCAGATTAGATAATATCTGAAAAATAAAAGATATACACGGATTACAAATCAAAATAATTTCAATTATAATCTTTAACTTTTATATATTCAAGGATCTTACTGTTAGCAGTTTTGCATTGACGAAGAGCTTCATTGAAACCATCACAAAGAGTTAGATCGGATTGATTCTGAGCACATTCTAAGAATTGCTTAACTTCCCAGGAACAAGCTCCATTGACCGGTGTAGAAACTGAAGAGTTCTGTGCTTGAACAGGAGCTGCTGCAGGTGCAGCTGCTGTCTCGCTTGAACTTCCACTGAATAATCCAGTCATGGCATGACCAATGGTATGACCAACGGCCGATCCAATAGCTACTCCTCCAGCAGTAGCAGCCATTTGTCCCATAAGAGATGGCTGTTGGGCTGCTGGTTGAGCAACCATTGGTGTTGCTGGAGCAGCATGTGCTGGGGGATGAGCTGCTGGAGCTGCAGCTCTTGGTGGTGGTGCAGCTCTTGTTGGTGATGCTGGCCTTACACTATAGTTATAAAAATATTAAAAAGAGAAAAAAAAAAATATATATATATATATAAATAGAAATGTCGAAGTCATCGAAAATAAATTAATATATATATATATACACACACACATCTTAAATATCATAATTTTTAGTTATTCTACGTCACAAAGAAACCTTGTGATCATGATGTAACATCAAATATAATAGTGATATTTCATTAACGAATTTCTTGTTATATAAACGAATAAATATCTAATTATGAAAAAAGTGAAAAAAGGAAAAGAAATAATCGACTTACCTCCTTGGTGGAGGACCCGCTGCTCGTCCACGTCGTGGCATCTTTATTACGTTTAGATTTTTATCTCTTGTAAGCACAAGACAATGTACGTCTTCACGTTGAAATGTTTCACTTACTAATACCGTTATTCTCAGCGATAGACTTTATTTGCTGAAAATCTGTTACGCAATCACGAGAAATACGCAGGCGCATACAATGCTCTTTAGCTTCCTGAAAATTCCAGAAAAACCAAAGCCAAACCGGAAACTGAACGTCGCATCAATAACAAAATGACGGTCGTCACAATATGGCGGGAATTTGAATTTTATCGTTCGTCATAATATATCAATATATTTCAATTAATGATAAATATCGATAGATAAACTCGCAATTAACTTCTTTAACTTTTTTTCTTCAATTGAGATCTTTTTTAAAACGCAATTTCTCGATCGAAATGACGTTGCAAACCTCAAGAAATGGTTGCACGATATCACGTAAAGTGTGCTTTTTATAGTACACTGACTTTGACATATTTAGTAAAGCTTTGACGTAGAATAATTACTCACCCCCGTTGTTGACGAGACGGTGGTGGGTGTGCTGGTGACGATGGTCGACTTTTTCCCGCTTTTCCGCTTTTCATTCCTGTTTTCTGACGTCCAGGCATATTTTTCTCTCTTTTTTTTTCCTCTTCTTTTTTCTCTTTTTTATCTTTTTATTTCTTTTTTTTTTCTCTTTTTTTTTTTTTCTTTTTTTTGTTATCTTCTAACTCGTAATATTATTATGTCGATTTAATTGCAACAGTATTATTATTGGAGAATATATGAAATTAAATTTAGATGGAGATCAGAAAAAGAATTACATTGTAAAGAAAACCGTGAGAACGTATATTTATTTACGTAGAATTTAATTATAATGAAGTTATAGACGTGGAAAAACAAAAAGAAGAAGAAAAAAAAAGGAGAAGAAAGAAAAATAAAAAATAAAAAAAAAAACAAGTGAAAAATCGATGTCGATAATCGTAATTAATTTTTATTCATAGCTATGTTCAAAGTTTATCCAAGTTCAAGAACGTATCGATAGATGGCAGCACAATGTTTAAAAATATGCGCGCGAGAAAATACATTTCATCGTTCTTACATAAGTCTTCTTTTCAATACCATTAAAGTTATTAATATCTTATATAATATATCTATATCAAAAGATTCATCGTAAATGACAATTAACATTCCAATAAGACGAATAATCGACATTAAAATATTATCGCGTATAGATCTACATTTTATATTAATTAGAAATCATTTTTTTTTTATTAACCTTTTAATGCACATCAGTTAATATCCCAAGAATAATAAATATATATATATATATATATTATGATCGAAGAATCTAAAATCAATTTTATTTTTAATTCAATGAAATTCATGTTATGTGACTTAAGAAAAAATAGAAGAAAAAATAAAGTAAGATATATGCATTTATCATATAATGATAATGAGTTACGAAAGCATATAAAACATAACAAATATATAATATAAATACGTAATAAGTGATTTAATTGAAAGAAAAAAAGATATTCCATAACAATCAGATATAGATTATTAAGAAATTATTATTTTTTCTTTTTCTTTTTTTTCTTTTTTCCTTTTTTTTTTTTTTTTCATCCGATAAAAGTTATCCGCCATATTTCATACATGTCGTCGGTTAATTAATATCCCAAGGACAACTATAAGTCCTGTATTATAATCGAAGAATCTAAAATCAATATTCTTTTTATAACTTAATGAAATTCGGCTTACGTGACTTTTAAAAAAAGAAGAAAAAAGAAGAGATAATAATGATAGTAATAAGATGGAAAAAGTAGTAGAAGAAGAAGAAGAAAAAAAAAAAAGGAAACGAATATAAATCAGACGCAATAAGTTTTCAAAATAGTAATACAAAAGTATATAAATAATTAACATATATGCATTTGTATGAAATATAAATTATTTGGAAAAAAAAAGAGATAAGACCAATTAAAAAAAAGAAAAAAAAAAAATAGAAGAAAGATTACGACAGATATTTAAATACCGATTAATATATCAGACGGGAAAAGAAAAATAAGCGTTGAGATGGAAAAAAAAGAAACATAATTAGTAATATGTAAAAATCGTCTCTGTACAAAAGTAAGATGAATACGATCGACTAAGAATGATTGATGAAGTATTTTGATTTGATTTTTAATAATCAAAAATGTCGCCATTTTTATCTTTAATATTCAAACAAATAACATATATATATGTGTGTGTGTGTGTATGGATATTATATAAAGTAATAAAAAAAAAAAAAAAAAATAAATAAATAAATAAAAAAAGAAACAATAAAAGATAGAACGAAAGAGAACAAAAGAAAACGAAACGAAACGGAACGAAACAAAACAAAAGAAAAAGAAAAAGAAAACAAGAAGAAAATTGTAACACACACACATATATATATATATACATGTATATACCTAAATAAAAATTAATTATCGGAGAAGAAGAAAAGCAGGAAAAATCTGATATGACGATAAATGAAATCCGTAAAACATAAATAATCCCTCTGAATCATAGTAAGGCAAATACAATCGAATAAGATTACGAGGTAGAGCATTATGATTTGGGTTTTTACTCAGTTCTAAACTCCGCCTTTTATAAACTCATCTTGTGTTATGTATAGAGTTAGTATACGTGTGTTATCGGTCCGTTATCATCGCACAACCGTCCCCGTCGAGAATTCAATGTGATGACGAGCGTTAACTATATATATACATATATATGTATGTATATGTATATATATACGTAACGTTAAGTTTACGAGTGTATGTAAATACAGCAACACGTGTTACTGCATTCAATCCACACACATGCGCAAACGAATCTAAACGAGCTCTTCATAAACCGGCGGGAACACGTTACTCGCGAGTCAGTATCATGATGCCAGTGCTCGGTTGTGATAGAGCACGTTTTATATCGTATACAATCTCTTCAATTTCTTTCTCTTTTCTTTTTTTACGTCCCCCTTTTTTTTTTCTTATCATTACTTCATTCGGCTTTATTTTCTTTTCGTTTGCACGACTCAAAACGAGATAATTAAAATCGTTTTGACTTTGGTGATATCTTAAAAAAGAAAAAAAAAAAAAGAGAAAGAAAGAAAGAAAGATCACGAGCAAGAAAATATGAGGAGTAATTATTTGATCCACTTTTAATTGTTCATCGATTAAATTGGATTTAACGAAGAACAAAGGGAGGAGGAAGAGGTACAACGAGAAAGAAAGAAAGAAAGAAAGAAGAAAAAGGAAGAAGAAGAAGAAGAAGAAGAAGAAAAAAATAAATAAAAAGAAGATCTTATTTATTATCATTCATGAGAGAGAGAGAGTGGAAGGAGTGTTATTAATTCGAAGAAAGGAATAAAAAAGAAAAAAAGGATAAGTGACGAGACAACAATAGATAACGAAAAAGAATTTTTACATACTATTTTTCAAGAGTATCAAGAGGATAAGAAGAGAAGGAACATTTCTGCATTATTATTATTGGATACCACGGACGCGGCCAATTTTGCCGATATGACGATTCAATTGTCACCTATATTCAACGAAAATGGTGAGTGGTTTGTTTATTTATCTTTATTCTTTGCGAAGAAATATTTTAAGAATTTAAATTATGAAATTATTCTTTGCGAAGAATTATTTTTTTTTTTATTTTTAACGTATAACAGGAACTTTGGGAATTGTTCGTCTCGTTTTTCTTTCTTTTTTTCATTTATTTTTCGGAGCTACAGAATAATTCGAATTTCCCGCTCTTTTTTTTCTCCTGTCATGTTTTTTTTTTTTTTTCTTCCTTTTTTGAAACATTTACATTAGGAAGTCTTTGAGTATACTTTAATTATTTATTTTTTCTTTTGTACTATTTCATATATAGGTATAACCGTAAATAATGTTTCATTGTGTACGACAAAATTTATTGTCACTAATGTCATTTTTTCTAAAAAAAAATGGAATTGGAAATCTTCATTTTTATTTTCGCTTCTTCTTGTTAGACCTTTTTTTTTCAATTTCATCGTTTCCTTCGTGTCTATAAACGAGAGAGATCTTATATCCTAGTCTATAAAGTTGTTCGATAAAAAAAAAATGTAGGAAAAACATACCATAGTGTTCCCTTTTTTATTTATATTTCTTGCCAATGATATTTTTCACCGGATGCGTTTCTTCCGTATGACTATAATGTAAAAGTTTGGAGAAGAGAATTGTTACGCAATCGGTTAGTTAAAAATAACTCGATCTAATATATATACATTGACGATATATATAACACTTATCAAAGAATAACACTTATCAAATTTTGCAATCGTTTTTGGTTACGTGAATTGAAAAAAAAAAGAAAACCAGAAGTAAAGGAAAATAAATAAACAAAAAATAGAAAAGAAAAAAAAGAAAAAGAAAAAGAAAAAGAACAAAACGAAATGAAAGAAAAAGGAAAGAAAAGATTCGTTTCTAATTTATTCGATTATTACGATTACTTTTAATTCGATCGAGATGATATAATGAATATTTCATTCTCTTGTTCGTCTGTCGATCCAAAAAAAAAGAAGATCCACAGATTTTTGATAGGTTCACGCAACGTGCGGCATGCAACGAACGTGCAGCTTCCCAAAATTATTCTTCCCGGTAACGCGTGTTGATCGTGCGAGCACAAGTTGGTTTTCCTCGGAGTATTGCGTACATTTCTTATGGCACATTGCCAATTTCAAAGTTCATGTACACTTCGGATATAAGTGTCCATGTCGAGATGAATAAGATACGAATGAAGTCGAAGTTTACGCTAATATTTCGTGAGATTTTTAATACTTTGCTGTTTTTTTTTTTTTTTTTTTTTTTTTTTTCTTTACAAATTACACTAAATGAACATTTGCGTACTACGAACATTTTAAATTCCCGCCGAGAAAATTTGCGACACGCTCGATCGGTAAAGTAGTACGCTCTTTTGATCTCAAATTTTTGCGTAAAAGAAAAACAAAAAAAAAATATACATATATATATATAATAAAAAAAGAGAAAAATGTCAATGATCGTACGTGTACATTGAAACTCGTGTATGTGCGTATGCGTGTGCGTGTGCGTGAGTATATATGTGTATATGTATAAAAGAGAGAGAAAGGGAGAAAGAGTGACAATAAATATTCACAATACGATAAGTTAAAACTAAAATTAATAATAATTAATAACGATTTGTAAATCTTTAATAATTCTATAGATTTTTTTCATGTCTCTTATTATCAAATGTTATTAATTGTTATTAATACTGATCGATCGATTTGAATGAGATCATTTTAATTTATTGATCTATCATAAATGATATCGATTGATATAAAGTAAAAAAAAAAAAAAAAAAAAAGAATTTAATTGATATTTGAGATGTTAATTTATTGTAAATTTATATATATATATATATATATATATATATATATATATATATATATATATATTTTGTAAATAAAGATCGATAGAGTGATCCAATGAAATTGACGTACAAGTAATCTTGAAATTGAGTAAATCGAGTCACGTGATATATGTAGAAAGCAGATTGAAAAGGCAAAAGAGAATGAGAGCAGACAAAGAAGAATACACAATGTGTATTCGATTACAAAGAATTATCAAGACAATTAACTTTAATCGAATAGAAGATGAAATATTCAATCTTTGTCGTTTTATATGTACAATATCTCAAACGCGTAGTACGCTATATCGATTACAAATAATTCATTTCAATTAATAATTATTACATTGCTGAATATTAATAATTGGTCATATATTTTTTATTACTCTCTTTTCTTTCCTCATGAATTTTTCTTCTTTCATTTCTTTCTTTTCTCTTTCTCTTTCTTTCTTTCTCTCTCTCTTTTTGTTCTTTCTTTTTTCTTTTAATCAAATTTGACAAA